CTCTCTACTAGAGTAAGGTCTACATGATTGGTCCTTGCATTTCAATTTGTAGAGCTCAAGAATATTTTACGTAACATATTTCAAATTTCTCTGGAGTTAAAAGAACAAATCAGCTACAGTTCTTGAGAGTCTGTCTCTCTTGGGTTGGTATCAGTGTTATTTCAACTCAACTACATGTGACAGTAGCAGTGACAACTGGTCATGTAGCCAGCAAGGTTGATCCATGACATGGAGTGAACATTTTGCAGGAAATATAGCATTTTATAGGAAGAAGTTCGGAAGGAAAGGGATTGCCTGTCGGTGTTGGAATCTGGAGTGTGGCCAAGGAAAAGTGCTTCAATTTAAGTCTTAGGACCTGTGTTCTAGGCATGGTGCTCTTGCTTAACAAACTGTAACCTTGAGCAAGTCTTCAAAATAAGATGGCATCTAAGTTCTAGAATCCTGTTTTATTACTATTATTATTATAAGGAAGGGTGTGTAACAGGAGAGATTTTGCTTGGAGGAAATGGTGACTGCAAGTTGTCAAAGTACTTTGCAGGGGTGGGGAGTTGGCAGCTGAGGGAAGTCATCCTCTTTTTGCGATGGCCTAACCCTCATCAGGCCTTGCCTAACCCAGTCAGAAAACAATTCCGCCTATCTGGAGGGCACCGAAGTCTCAGAGCCCAGGCCAGGGGCATTGGGATGGTGAGTGGTGGAAATGTCTAGGAAAGTTCTCATTACACTAAGGCTCACCGAGTAGGCATTTCCCAGGAGCACGTTTGAAGTGGGGGAACCCATGACTGGCCCTTTTTTCCCATTGGTGAAACAAGGTAAAATGGCTTTCAATTTAACATGAGTAATTATATTTCAGTATCAGCAGAAAGCAACAAAAATGTAATTTTACAGAGGGAATACTAAAAAAAGAAAGGTATTTTGAATTGTAATTTAAAAACTTAGAGCTGAATTGGGTTATTTATTGTGTCTTCATCCTCGATAATGAACCCACATTGTTGAAGATCTGGTTTAGGGTGGGAATTGTTAATATTTTTTTCTTCTGCCAATGTCCAATATTCAAAGAATACTCAAGTGCTTTCAAAGATTTGGTAAATAGAACTATATCTTCTCTGAGTGCATCCTTGGGGTAGGACTTATAAAAACTTACAGTTTTACAAGCTGGAAAAACATCTTGTTTAAACATCCTGGCATAAAGCATCATAAAGAATCCAAGATTTTGAGTGACTTTACTAAGGTCTCTCAACTGGTAATAAGAGAAGAGAGACTAAGAATCTCGTGGTTCTTTAGGATGACATCACACTGTTAGATTAGCAGAGACATTTATCAATGAATGTTGACAAAAAAGATTCTGACAATGAATTATTTTTCTATGATCTCCATATATGAGAGCTGGTTTAAATCAACCATTTCCTAGGATGACAGAAGGAAGGAGTCTTGTATAGTCTGAAAGGAAAGCAGAACTTTGTTGTAGTGATTTGGTTTATTTTTAGTCATATTTATTTTGAATTTCAAATTGCATTTAAAGAGAACATGATGGAATCTCCCTGCCATTTCCCTTTCTATCTCTTCCCCCTCCCCCTTATTTTGGATTAGCTTCTGCATATCAGATGAAACATTCAACTTTTGGCTTTCGAAGTCTGGCTTATTTCATTTAGTATTATAGTCTCCAGTTCTATCCATTTATGATCAAATGCTGTAATTTCATTCTTTATGGTTGAGTAATACTCCATTGTGTATAAAAATCACATTTTCTTTATCCATTCACCTGTTGAAGGGCCCCTTGTTTGGTTCCATAGCTTGGCTATTATGAATTGTGCTGCTATAAATATTGATGTGGCTGTATCTATACAGTATGCTGATTTTAGGTATTTTGGATATATATATAAAGAGGAGTTGGATAGCTGAGTCATATGGTGGTTCCACTCCTACATTTTTGGGAAATCTCCATTCTTTTTGTTATAATGTTTGCACTAATTCTGTGCTTCTCCAGAGTGGCTATACTAATCTGCAGTCCCACCAACAGTGTATGGGTGTGTCTTTCTCCCACATCCTCATCAGCATTTATTATTACTTATATTCATAAAAATTGCCATTCTGACTTGAGTGAGATGAAATCTCAATGTAATTTTGATTGGAATTTCCCTGATATGGAACATTTTTTTCATATATTTGTTGGCCAATTGTATTTCTTCTTTTGACAAGTGTCTGTTTAGTTATTTTGCCCCATTTTTAATCAGATTATTTGTTCTTTTGGTGTCAAGTTTTTTAAGTTCTCTATATATTCCGAGGGGCAGGTGACAAAGATTTTCTGCTGTGCTGTAGGCTCTCTCTTCACACTCTTGTTTCCTTTGTTATGAAGAAGCTTTTTAATTTTATGCCATCCCTCTTACTGATTTTTGGTTTAATTTCTTGTATGTTGGGGGTCCTGTTAAGGAAGTTGGTTCCTGTGCCAACAAGTTTGAGTGTTTGTTGGGTCTATATTTTATTCCAGAAATTCAGAGTTTGTGGTTTAATTCCTAGGTCTCTGATTCACTTTGAGTTGATTTTTGTGCAGGGTGAGAGATAGAGGTCAAGTTTCATTCTTCTACTTATAGACATCCAATTCTCCTAACACCATTTGTTGAAAAGGCTACAGTGGTGGACTAGATGAAGGAGACTGAGGGGGAGGGATAAGACATGGGAGAATGGAAGGACAGCTGAATGAATCGGACCTAATTTTGCTATGTGCATATATGGATATACCACAGTGAATCTCACCATCATGTCTATCCACAAGAAACTAACTCAAAAACAAAACAAAACTACCAAAGTAAATAGCAAAAAGATCAGTATGGTAGAGGGAAAGGAACACAGGGAGTGGGGAGGGAAGGAAAAGGGCAAATACTGGAAACCGAATTATATCAAATTATATTCCATGATTTTATGTCAAAATGAATCCTAATGTTATGTATAACTAAAAAGAACCAATTTTAAAATAAAGCATGAGATTTTTATGTTTAATGGGTATCTTTATAAAGGCACTCATATGTTAACTTCTCAAAGTTCTTTCCAAGTTTTCATTCCTATTTAAAAAAAAAAAGTTTACTTGCTACTCTTTTTAGTCAGAAAGGAAACTAAAATTGGGTGAATTTAGACTGTGAAATTAGTGGATGAATTGTCTGGAAATCAGTTTCTTTTCAACATCCCAAATTAGAAGGACTTATAGATGGACACCATCTGTTGACTGATATCTGTCAACTAATGAATGGGTAAACAAAATGTGGTATATCTATACAATGGAATACTAGTCAGTCACAAAAAGAAATGAAGTACTTATACATGAAACAACATGGTTGATCCCTGAAAACTGTTAAATGAAAGAAGCCAGACACAAAAGGACACAAATTCTATAATCCTATTTATATGACATGCCCAGAATAGGCAAATCCACAGAGATCTGAGGTAGTTTCCACTGGGGCTGTGACAAAGAAAGAGTGGCCACAGACTGCTGATGGGCATGGGGTTTGTTTTTCCAATGGTGAAAATGTTACGGAACTACATGGTGGGAATATTTGTATAATGTTTAAAGCACTACTGAAGTATACACTTGAAAACTGTGTGCATGACCACACTGAATTTTGTGATGTGTGTTCTACCACAAATTAAAAGAAAAGGGGATTGAATCAGTGAAGCTTCGGTATAGCATCCCTCTCCGTGATCTATGATTTGTGAATAGGACCAAGCCTTGAGATTCAAGGACATTCATTATCTTGGAAGTTAATGGTTTCTATGGATTTTGATTTCATATACAGGATTTGGGGGTAAAGGGAGGGCCAGGGTTTATGCCAGATACCCCGGAGACTCCTGTTACTTCTACTACAAAGACTCTGCCTTTTAGTTTAAGAGTGAACAATCTTGGAAGGTCTCAGGCTCTTTTCTTTTTTACTCTATGCAGACAAATCACTAGATTGATTACAAATAGAAAGGTTTAAAGCAAGCCTTAATTTATCTGGACTCCTCAACTGTCATGTAGGCAGGTGAGGCGCATACCCTCACCTATTGGTCAGACCTGTTCCTCCTCCACTGGTCCTGCCCCTCTCTAGCCCTGAAGGGCCCATCCCCCACTCTAACATAAGGAACTTGTGTTTTGTTCCTTGGTCTCTTGCTGAACTTTCTTTTTGACAATTCTTACACATTCAGTCCACCGTGAGAGACCTTCATTTTAGCAGCAGGGTTACTTGGTGATAGAGGTTATTCATTTGTGCTTTGAAACTGGATGTAAGAAAAAAATTGGTTGTACACTTTCTTCGTGGCACGATTCTAATAGTCTTTGTTTCTCCATTTCTTAACACACACACACACAACACGCACACATAAATATAATGGTTGTTCTTGCTCTGGCAGTGATTTTCCCCCAGATATAAAAGTTATATTGGCTGTTATTGGCTACATTAAGAAACCTCCAAAGATTGGGCGATCTTCTAAGAGAATATTTATTTTTATTTAAAAATATGACACATCAAAGTGAAGCAGTTACATTAAAGAAAAAAATAAGAAGACCTAAAACCTTTTCCTAGAATTGGAGGAAGGGATTTGCTTTTAGTTCACACTCACTCTTGATGCCAGGAATAAGAACCACCATCATTTTCCTCCTTTGTGGGCACTGAGTACAAATATGAAAAATTTTACTTATAAACCAGTGAAGTGTTAGGACTTTAATTTTATTTAGAAATTAAAACTCCCCCAGTAAAATACCTTTTCTTCATTTTGTTCTGCATCTTGTGAAACCCTGAATTCAGGGATGTTATTACATTTACTGGATTTGCTTCTTTCGTTCAACTCCAATGTGGTTTAGAAAAAAAAAATTTTTTTTTCTCCTCTGTTTCTCATAGATTTCTCAACAGAATAATTTTCTAGGAGATACTTGATTCATTTGGGGGGAATTTGGGGAAATTTTTCTTATTGGTTTTTCATGTTCATAATAAAGGATTTCCGACAAAAATTTAAAATACCCTATGGAGACCAGCTTATGGTACAATTACGATTTATTGTATGTAATGAACAACCATCTGTAGACTGATCATGAAAATAAAGACCAACACAAATGTGGGAGTTCCTCATTTTCTAAAGAAATATATCTTTATTGACTTTTTCCATTTTCTTACAAAGCAGTTAAAAAAACCTCATTCCTGCCCTAGCATACTATTCAATGTTAGGATGACTGCCCCCTTAAGAGACTGTTGGTGGAGCTGTCTTAAGGTTTTCCTAAGCACCATAGAAGAGTAACATCGCTTGGTCCCATTTTTACAGGATAGAATCCAAGATTCACTGGATTATGTATGCTTAGCTCTCTTGAATAAGACCAGTTTAGTGAATTAATGTTTGAAGAAGACCAGTTTAGTGGATTAATGTCTAATTTACACACATTAATACAGACAAATCTTGAATCTTTACAGATTAAATGCCCACTTTATACCATGGTGTAATTGTGTGAATTAGGGGTGAGTGTACAGTATATAGATGTATATGTATATGTACTAGATATATCTATAAATAAAATAGTGCTTTAAGGTAACAATATTCTTTGGTTGATTTAAATGCCTGTGGTAGACTCTGGTAAAAGGCTAAAAGGCAAATGGCCCCACTATAATTGTCAATCTTAACACTGAGCTTGTGCGGAAGGTCCCTATACTGTTGACTGTCAGCATTTCCAGGTCCACGATGTATTCTCTTGGTCCTGTTAGTGACTTCACGAGCACAAGCATGGCACTTACAGGACTTGTTTGCTAAAATAAAAGAAGAAAGAAGAGGGAGAGAATTAGTTTTCTTGGAATAGAGTTTCTCTTATTATACTTCCAATGAGAATTAGGGGATAATTAACTACTAGATAGGTAAGAAGTGGGATTAAAAAAAACCTACTACTTATCCCTTCCTGACTCCAAACCTTCTTCATAGTTATCCTTGGACCTAGCTCCAAGTTTCAAGGAGTTGCTTTTCAAATAGTTTTTTCTTTTCTATTCCTCTCTTTCTGTGAATGTTTCTTAAACCCTTGAGCAGTTTCAGCTATTATAGAGTCCAGAGCTTGGAATCAGATCATTTTTGAACTGGTAAACAAAGCTGTAATTTTTCATTTTCTTGACATTGTGCATCTATTTACATTCTAGTGGGTGAAGAGAGAGGGAAACAGTTAATTTCAATAGAATGTTGCAAATATTAAGGAATGTGGGGATACTCAGGGTGTGTGCAGACAGGTGCAAATACACAGGGAAAAGAGGAGGAATCCTAAAATATTAAGGAAAGGCTTTGGAATACCCAGGGAGAGTCCCCAGGGATAAGCGGAAGTTCTGTAAAGCATCATGTTCAGAAGAACTCAATGCAGTTTAATTTTGATGAAAAATGTGACAGGTGTTGGAAAGAGGAGAGAGATGATATTGGTGGGGTGGGTAAGCAGATGATGAATCTGAATGACAAAGGATACAGAGAGAGATTCAGATTTAGCAATCACCTCAAGGGGTGGACATAAAACCAAGGGAGAGAATGTGGATGTAGTAAAGCCAGAGTTCTAGGAGAGGATGACACTGAAGGAGTAGGTAGAGGAGAAACCAAAGAAAGAAGCTGAGAAGAAATAAATGATTAAGTGGGGGAACAGATGAGTGGCCAGTTGTGTCCACCAGAGCGGAGGAGGATGAAGATTCTGGAATTTTAAAGTGCCTTTTGGATTTAATGTATGGAGGTCATTAGTGGCTTTTCCCCCCCATATCAGCTTCCATATGGTAGTGGGAACAGAAGACAGGAGTGACCAGGAAGTTAATGATTACAGACTGCATTTAAACAAGCGAGTCTGGCAAGGGAGAGGAAAGGTAGGGCAAAATCCAGAGGGAAAAACATGTTGAATATGTAGGAAGTAGAGGGGATTCTGTTAAAATAAGATTCTGGAGGAGATAAAATGAAAAATGCACGTGCTGGATGGATCTTGATTGTCAGAAGAGAAACCTTGTTTTTGGAAACTTGATGGAGGATCCAGAGACTTAAGTTTGCAGTGAGTGGCATGGGAAGTACAGCTAACTCATACCTATTTGATGTCAGTGGTTTCAGAGGAGTAGGAGGTGAGGTCACCTACTGAAAATGAAGAGTGCAAGGACTTAAAGAATATGGGGACATTTGAGACCAGGGAATAAAGAAAAATGGAATAAAAGAAATAAGAAAAAAATAACAGAATTGTTGAGCATACTGAACACCCATCTGAAATAGGAGACCAGAATTTTACAGGATTACTAGTCCATACAAGCTGGGTATGAAAATATATATGGATTTATGGGACTGATGTGGGGCTGCCAGATGGAGGATTGATGTGTTGGTGACAGGGTAGTTTAAGTGTCCACCAAGTAGCTGATAGACTGGAAGGGGACAGGGGATCGGAGGATCAGGGAACTAGCATCACTTTGAGGGTGAAAAGCACTGTGTGAGAGTGATGATGTGCGAGAGAAAGCAGGGTGGTGGGGAGGGAGGATGGTCACCAGAGACCAATACCTGAGTGTGGCCATGGGGGTTGGTGTCATTTTGTTCTGCATCTTGTGAAATCCTGAATTCAGGGATGTCATTACATTTACTGGATTTGCCATGGGAGATGAGATGGCCAGGGAACTATAGGCTAGGGCACTGGATAATTCTAACAGAGCCCAGATCAGGTTACAGAAAGGAAATGTCTTCATGATGTAGCCCTTTCTTATTTCAGGCTCTCTTCTCTTCCCACTAATCACCCACTCCAACACACTCTCCCTGAGTGATCCTATCCATAACCATGGCTTTGGTTGTTATGCATTTGCCAGTGACTTGGAAGTCTGCATTTTGAGTTGCAAATCCACAAATCCAGCTGCAAGTATCTCTACTTTGATTTTTCACAGGGACCTGGAATTAATTTATCCAAATGACCTTCCATCTTTCCTTCCACACTGGCTCCTTATTCTTCTTTATCTCCACTATTTACTGTTGCTCAAGACAGACACAAGAAGGGTCTTCTTCTTGATGCATCTTTCTCCTCAAACCTCCCAATAGCAAATGAGTTACCAAGTCATGTCGTTCTTCCAATATCTTCTTAAATCTGTTCTTTCTTTGTTTTTTAAAACTCCTGGCTACCACCATAACTTCCTATCTCTTGAATGTGTAACTGGTCTATTTCCATTTTTGCCCCACTTCAATCCATGATCTGTAATGTAGACAGGCATCATTTTAACCTGAAAGTCCAATAGAGACTCCTCTACCTGAAGGCCTTAAAATACTCTATAAGGTTTGTGAGATCTAGCTCGTTCTGCTCTCCAGGATTCTCTCAGGCTCCTCTGCCTCTAGCACTTGGAGTTCCAGACCAACTGCACTTCTACATACTCCTTTAGTTTGCTATTTTTCAATTTGTCCTTGAGTTTAAATCTATTTGTACCAGAAGGCTGACCTGATTAGGTCTTCTGCTTACATACTTGTGAGCAACCTTTAAACTCTTTGTTGCAGAGGTCAGCACCCTTCTGAGCACTTGCACAGAGTCTAAACTATTATCTCCAATGGGATAGGAATTAGCTTGCTTTTATTTATTTTTGTGCCTCTAGGATCGTCTATAGTACTTGCTTCTTGGAAGCAATAGCTGTAGGTAACAGTAATACTTTGAAGGTGATACTTTACTTTCAATTTTGTGTACTACTTCCTTATAATATGTCCCCCTTTCTAGGGAAGGAGCTTTTCTCAGTATTCTCCCAAAAGGAATATAAATAAAATCCTATATTCCACATATCCTTTCAAGGATCAGGTCACATCTCATGACTATCAAGAAACCTCCTTTATCTATTAATTTTTTGCTGTCTTTAAACCATGGATTAAGTACAATGCTGGCTCCTTCTTTTCCATAGATGTTAACTTTTGCTGCACAATTGTAGTCAGAAGTCTTTGAAATCAGGAACTGTGCATTACCTGTCTTTTTAATTCTTCACTATGGAGCCAAGAACATAGTAGTGCTTAATTACGGACTGCTGGTTGATTCTTAGGCATAAGTGGAATTTCAATGAGAAATTTTGTAGGATTTGATCCAAGTGCTTTTCGAATTATGTGATAAGAAATAGTATTGATGTATTTTTTTAGCATTTAAAATAGTTTTTTATTCAAGTAATTTAAAATGATTTAACTCTGGGATTATCAAAATTGGCAATATTTTATATTATTCATGGGAAAAAGGCTTTGTATTTGTATTTGAAAAATCAAGTCAATAACTCAATAAATCAAGTCAATGAATAAAAATAACTTTCAAAGTGTCCTGTTTATTGCAGAGAAAAACCACGTTGGAACTTTAACTGCTGATCCTATTAGGAAATTTTATTTCTTAAAATTATGGTGCAGAGTTCAAAATGGAAAGTTATTTTTAAAGGAGAATTTGAGATGAACCTATCATATTACCATGGGATTACTGATAATAATATCTGTTTGGGCTAGAATTAATTAATTGGTACTATCTGAACTCTGTAAAACTCATTTACAGGAAACTTTTTACAAATAACCTAGTGCATCTCAAATTTAAGACACCAAATGCTAAAGAAGTTTATTTTTTCCTACTAGAAAAAATAATGATAGTAATAGATTATATTTTGGGTTGGGTTTTTCTCTTCAGAAGTTGGTCATGAGAAATTAATCATTTCTAATTTACTGGCAAAGAAAGAGAATCACATTGCTTAAGCTGGAAAGGAAGTCAGTATATCAAAGAACAGGATAAACGTGTAAACATTAAAAAATCTGTAAATTCGACCACAAGGATGAATTTCCCAATTTGCTTTCATATTCTCAAAATGAAATATTGACTTTAAAATCTGATTAAAAAGGAAGAGTGCCCAAAGGAGTTTTGAAAAAAAAAAACAAAAAAACTGTAACTGGATGAATAACATCCTGAGCTTGAAACAGTTACGGTAACCCTGCAAAACTGCTTGGTGGGGTGCCATCATTTTCACATGAAGTGGTGAGCTGTATTTAAAATGTGTCAGAATTTTAACCTAAAATGAACTTGTTGAGATTTTGCGGGGGAGAATGGAGTCCAGGAGATCAGCTTGGAAGGCTCTGGAGAGACTGGGGAGGTGAAGCAAGCAGCTTAGAGAAGAGGAGGCTGGGGCTTTGGAAGCAAAGATAAACCAGGAGACACTATGAAGAGAGAAATGGCAGAATTCAGAAGCAAGATTTCACATAGGTAATAAAAGACAGGGAAAAGACCTGGGTGAGCCCACACTGCCCAGAAGACAGTGGTACACGTGTTGACTCATACTGTGCAGCGGGGTGGGTCACTTCTGAGACTGACAGGTTTTAGTTTTGCTGTGAATGTAAACTATCTTGCAAATGTAGCAATAAGGAATTCATGATTTTTGAAAAACTCTCCAGAAATTATTTTTCCTACATACAGTCAAATGTCATTGATTTGTAGGTTTGTGTTTTGGCAGTCACACACAACTCTAGTACTAGAGTCGGCAGTTTGGTATCTGTGATTTTAGGGAAGCTACTTAATCTCTCTACATGTCATATTTGTCTTCTGTAAAAAATCAAAATCAATATTAGTATCTATCTTATGGCATTACCAGTGGATGAACTGAAATAAGATACACTGGAGGTCCTTACACATGCCTACACACAAAACTCTAAATGTTAGCTTTCCTTCCAAGTGAATACGACACGACAAACTTCCACCTTTCTCGATAGCTGCCTTCAGGATACTTACCCTTAGGTAGAACTCTCCATTTTCATTTCCAGATTTAATCCGAAAAGTATTGATGGTATTAGCATAAATAGTTGTGGCCTGTATCTGGAAGATGTCTGATGGTACAGTCCTGTCAGAGCGGATGCTCATGTATTTGTAGACTATGGATTGGGGCAGTTCCCTGCACATAGCATTTGAGACTGGGCAAACACATCGGCTGTGGAGACAAATAAAAAAGCATTCATTGGTTTGGTTGGGGAGTAACAAAAGAGGCTCACTTTCAAAAGTTCTGATGATGTTTCTTACTTCTCTGATGTTAAAATATAGGGATCTTGACAAGGATTTCGTGGGTAACAACGGAAGCCACCATGATAATTCCAACACATTTCATCCTCTCGGCATTCATTGGCGGTCTCACACTCATTGATATCTGCAGACACAGGGTTTAAGAGTATATTGATCAAGAAGATTGTGTAAGTGGCAGGAAAATTGTGTAAGTTTCAAGGAAGGCAGTCTATAAGACACAAAACTGGGTGGAACCTGAATTCATTGAATTCAGGACAGATGTAGTTGAGCCATTGTGCACAGATTAATATGTATCGTTTTGTGATATTTTTTTAAAATAAGTACCAATTGTTTATCTGTTAAATTCAAAGTCAAATGCTAACCATTGACTTGGCTTATATTTTTTTAAGAAAGGCCCACCAACCAAATACCCTACCAGTTCCTTCCCTCAGGGAGATGATAATTTAGTTGGGAACAATTACTTATAAAGCAAAATGGAATTAAATGGAAGATAGGTAAGGACACACAAGGACTTGAAGTGGAATTGACTCTTTCTGCCTGGAGGATTAGGGAAGGCTGAAAAAAGAAGTAGGCATCTCAGATTGGCCTTGAAGGGTGGTAGTTAAGTGGATTTTTCATTGCTAGGGTGGGGAAGGCTTCCCACGATGAGAAAGCAGCAAGCAGAAACTAAGCAGAGGGCAGCTGGTCCTTTGTCTCAGGAGCTCAGGAGAGAGAACACATCTAGGAAGGTAGTTTCAGGAAGTAGGCACGCTGAGGGATAGATGAGGGGTTTCCATGGTCCAGAGGAAGGAGCACAGCGGAAGTGATGTCATGAGGGTTTCCGCCTTGTAGAACACAGATATTTAAGGACTGTGTAGAAGAAGAAGGGGCTGGTGCCAAAGAGCCAGAGGGGAAAGTTCCAACTGTGAGTAGGCTAGGCTGGACAAAGGCTCATTTTAGATTTGGATATTTAGAACTCCCAGGTGATATTTGAAAGAACACCTTAGTGAGCCATTGCAATTGTAACCACAGAAACAATTAAATTAATATCCATCACCCTAAGTCTATCTCCTTTACATTTGAATAGTGATTTATATTTTTATCCCATATAAACATTTTCTGAATCATGCCTTCCCCATCATTGGATATTTTCATTCATTCATTTACTCATTCCACAGGTAATTTACTGAATCCTTGCTGCAAGCCAGGCATGGGCTGGGTGCTGGGATATGATCTCTCTTTTGTATTCCCATACCTGGTAATCCACTTTTAGGATCTTTATTGCTTTCTGCTTTGCATTATTGAAATCTGCCCCTTTGTTTTAATCCTTCTATTGTGAATTCCTTGAGGGCAAGAGCATTGTACCCACATTTTAACCCTTTTTATCACCTAGTGTTATTGCTTTGGGACATTGGCTTTTAAGAACATTAAGTTTTGCTTCACAAAACTGTGTGAAGACAGGTGAAGAAGATGTTATCTCCTTTTGACATGGAGAAAAAAATCCACCATGGTTAAGTGGTGGGTTCAAGTTCATGTAGTTAGTGACAGGCATCTTTCCAGCGTAAGGTTCTCTAGGGAAGAATAATTCCATGCCTTGTCTTTAGAGAAATTTTTTTTTCTTTTGACTTCCAATTGGCTAAACTTATCTGAATTCCAGGAGGAAACTGGAAAAGTTATGCAGTTTCCAAGAGTCAGCCACAAGAAGTGTCTTCTTGGACTAGCTATGGCTGAGGGCAGAAAACCTAACTTTCTCTGAAGAAATTACAATTGACTTGCCCTTTCAGCCTTTTTTACCTTTTGAAAAAATAAAGGTGATGTTTAGCTCAAGGGAAAATTAAGACTGGTTTGTTATAAGGAGTCCAACAACAGCACAAGGAAGCTTTAATCTATAACTTTGGTTATTACTTCTGACAGTATAGAGTCTAGCATAATCAACAGCTTAACCATTCTGGAAGGCTGTTCAGAAATGAAGAGTATTAAAATATTTGAGGAGCGTGCATCTGCATGTGTATGTTTTTTTCTATCTGTTTAGATAAAACACACACACACACACACACACACACACACACACAGAGTTTTCATTTTTGTAAGCCTGTGGAAATGAGAAAAGTTATTTCATACCCAAAATAAGCCCTTAGAGGAACGTAAGAATTCAAACCTTCTGAATTCTACTTTGTTCTTATGGACAGGGCTCAGGAGGGATGGTTTCAGTAGGGGAAAGCAATTGGTTGATACTTTAAAAGAATGCAAGTCTCTTTCACAGATAATATTTTGGCTCACTCAAATATTCTGAAGCTACATATCTTCAATATAACAACATTCATGAACCTCCATCTGTAATTTCAGTGCATTTTCCACCTTTACTCAAAACAGACATGTCTCTGGATATATAGGTCAGGCAAGTAAGATCCTACTGTACATTAATTTCCTTTTGTCTTTGTTCAATATCAACTCCATTTATGATCAGAAACACATGGACATTTGTTTGAAGGACTCCAGGGAAATTGGTTAAAATATCCTACTGGCTAACATTTTCCTGCATGTAATATTCATGTTAAAAGTCTCAATTAGGGTTCAGTAAGTAAGACCTATGGAATGCAATGTTTCCCTACAATTAACATTTACAGAGTTTCTAGTAAGGGTTATAAAGATGTTCATTAAGAAATGAACGACATTTTGATTATGCATATACCTAGTGGTTGGAGTCTAGTTTCATGCTACAAAAGCCCAGGTCACGATGTTCCTCTGAGTTACTATTTCCCTACACAATTATTATATAGACCGAGACTTTCCAGTGTTTCCTTTCCTTGATCTTTTCCTTTCTTAAAAAGATCCTTATTGTCCTGTGTATACTCGTTCCAATTCTGAGATTTTAAAAGTCTAAAGACTTACTATTAGTTCCTGACATTGCTGAGCATATTCCATAAAAACACTTTGAATTGTAGGAACTTCATAGTTTATGAATTATTTTCACATTATATTGTTTCATTCCCACATCTCCCTTTTCCAAAAGAGAGAGCTAAGACTCAAGAGAAGTTTGATTTGCTCACTATTGTGTAGATAGAATGTAGTACATCCAGATTTAGTATGCAGAAATGCAGTACATACATCAGAATGCAATACATACAGATTTTTTCTGTCCTCAAGTTAAGCCATTTTTTTATACTTTCACTGTTTTATGTAAATTTGAGTATTTTTACTAGTTTTCTCAGGATTATCTACATGTTTTGTTTTATCTATCAGTCTTTTTCCTCTTGAAGAAGTTTTAAGCTACACGTGGTATTGGAGGTACATTTTCAAATTTTGCACATTTTCAAATTTTCCTAAAAGACTCTGAAATCATACAATTGTAGATGGTTGCCTCTCAGATCCATGTGCAGGTGTGAAGAGCACCTATGTATTTATTTTGTAGCTGGTACAAGGTCATTAGTTATTTTTTGGCTTAACAGTTTTTTTCCTGAAGAATATAGGCACATTTTAGTACATATTAGGATGACTTTCTCATCACCTAAATTACTACATAATTTATAATCTTGGTATCTTAGAGAATTAAGACTAAATTGAGGTTATCTCTAACTCACATGTTAAATTGAGGCTCTAAGCTCAAATTCATGGTGAAACATTTTCATAACTGAATCTTTTCTGGTAGATGCTTGGAAGAGATTATATGGGCCAGTTAGTAGAGATATTAACATTTTATTAAAACTTATTTACACTTTTTAGAAAGGAAAACTATTACTCTAAATTCCAAAGAAAGTCAAGACTAACATGGAGTCTCGTCTTTATGAGATGTGCATTATCTCATAATGAATAGGGACACAAAGAGCACTAATTATATATTCAATGTGGGAAAAATGAAAATCTATAGTAGAGAATCCTGTAACTTCCTTCAGGTTCTTCCTGGGTAAAACCAAACACTTCACATGTAAGAAAACAAATTTACCTTGACATGTTCTGCCTCTCACCACTTGGTATCCCTGGGGGCACATACATGTGAATTTCCCAGGTTCATTGACACATTGATATTGACACAGGTAGTTTGAGGTTCTGCATTCATCAATATCTGTTGAATCAGACAAGCGCAAAGACACAGAGTTGAAAAACTTTCATGCTGCTACTTTGGTAATACACTTTTTAGATGAGCTAAAGAGAATAAAAACATTGTAAACTTTAAACAGAAATATAAGATTTTATCAAAAGCTTGAGGTCAAATTCTAACAATATCAGTGTATTTCCCTCTACAACTTCCCAGTATCAGGAGTTTTTATTTTTACCATCAGTTTTACTGATAAATTGTGGACAGTTTAGTTAATCTTGGACCTAACTATACTAGCTAAACAGACTTAATGAATTGGCTTGTGGGACATGTACTTCACTTTGTGCTCCCACACAGGATGCAGATTCATGTTTGTCTTCTCAGAAATTGGGTGACTCTGCTACTAAATTCATCTGAGCTTTGAATTCCAAGCCCATTCTCTGTGCAAGTTTTCAGAGGTGACATTTTGGCAGAGTCTTGTCTTCAGAGGAAGAATGCTTTTCATATCTGAATAGGGGTGCATGTATAGTTTGCTCAGAATTGCAGAAGCAGCTTCCTTGAGCTGTCTCCTTATGGTTTTGAGCGTAATGGTATGATGTGAGGCTTCTCTGGGTAGGGTATGACCTTTATGGCCCCAAGTGAATCTGAAAGGGACCAGGAGGAATTTAAGGACATCAAGTGTTGATGGTATCCCCTTCATGGTATCTTATGCTGCTTGAATTATTCAGAGGAATGGGCACAGTCAGGACTCTGAAGGTCATCCATCCAGTAGATGGATGACCATTGTGCTGTCTTTTTACTTATACGAAACTAAAACCTAGGTAGCTTAAGAAATATACCCCAGGCACACAGTGGCAGGAATAAAGCTAGGGGACAGGTCTCTTGTTTTTTTTTATTGCAATGTTTTTGACATGCCTTCAGCATTTCTCAAATTCAAACATGCACAACAATCACAGGGCATCCTTGTTAAATGCAGATTCTGCTTTAGAAAGTTTGGGCTGGGGTATGAGATTCTGAATCTCTCAATAAGTTTCCAGGAGCACTGGTGTTATTGGTCACCAGATCACACTTTGAGAAGCAACACACTAGAACATCCATTCTAATGATTAGACCCAGCTAGCATCTAAAATTTCAGTTATTTATGATTTTTTTTCCTCTTAGTAACATATGAAGAAGCCAACATTAAACTATATGAATTAGATTTTGGAATAGAATTTGTGTGAGTAAAAATTTGTTTTCATCAACAGCTACACGATCAGAGAAAGCCACATGAATGACAAGGGTGGACTCTTATTGCATGTTATTTCAAAAATATTTTACCTTCACAGTTGAGCCTATCACTACTCAGCTCATATCCTTGATTGCACTGACAGATGAATGAACCGAGAATGTTGTAGCACTGCTGAGCACATTGGTTGCTGGCATCACATTCATTTATATCTGAAGGGAAAGGTTGTAGATATACACATCTTTAAACATATATTTGCTCTCTTGTACCTATATCATCTGATGATAAATGAGTAATTCCCTAGCTGAATTCTTTGCCCTGCAGAAGCTCATCCGAGAAAATCCATTCAGTTTCATATTTGTTGGAACAACTTCAAAGGTCTGTAATATACTTCTTTTAGAAATACCAGAATGTTTTTTTCTAGGTATGGCAGTTTGATGTTTGATAAATCTTCCCCAAAGAATTTAATGCTTCTAATAAATAAACATTCCAGTGTCTATTTTCTTTTGTTGTTCAGATTCAAAATGCCAAGTCTATAAATAATTGTTATAAGACACTCATACTGATACGGTCTCTCAGCATGCTGTAGTGAAGATTTATCTGTGCTATTTATTACTTTTTAAATGGTTTCTGTTAAATTCCATTACAATTATAACATAAGCCTTTGAGACTCATACAGAGTTTTGCAATGCTCTGAGGCACTGAAAATATTGTGAAAAGGCATTTTTCCTGCACTAGATTCTTTCCATGTCATGCCAATCTTATAATTGTGTGCCGTGACATTGCATTCTGAAAGGGGAGAAGAAGCATGTAAAAATCAGATGCACTTTCAGTGGAAAGTTTATGTACTTGAACTTCCAGTAACCCCCTTGGCACCATTATCATCTATATCACACTCTGTTGACGAATTGGTGTGTGTATATCAATTGATCTATAATTTGAAAGAAATTTTGATACACTTACAGAGGAAAGCTAAAACCAAGCTTCAAAAAGGTTTCCGTTCACATGTTGATGTGTTTTAGGAAACACGTTAGTTATTGTCCTTTCAGCATTAAATGATTGCTCAAGGTAAGTTGTTGGAAACCAGTTCATTAAAGAATGCTGAAAACTGGAAGTAGTGCACCTTGATATGGGGTCTCCTTTTTTTTTTTTAAGACAGAAATAGTTAGGATGGCAGTCTCCTCAAGACTTACCTACACAGGTGTAGTTGTTTGCCGCCAATTGAAACCCGGGGTTGCACTGGCAGTAAAATGAGCCTGGAGTGTTCACACATCTTTGGTGGCAATACGGAGGCACAGAGCACTCATCTATGTCTAGGTGACCAGCACACACAGAGAGACAAATTATTGACTTACCAAGTTTTCAACAGAGATGATCTAGAAAACCTATGTAGGGAAGACTTTATTTAAAAAAAAAAATCCCTTTGTTACTAAAATTCGGGTATAGGTGTTTTAAGTATACTTGAATCAGCATTCTGAAGTTAAATAAGATGTTAAGAACGAAGACTGCATACCCCAGTGTGTGATAAATAAGCCTGGCTAGGTGGGTTGAGACTTAAAAGAGTAAAGTAAATAAGACCACTTCGCATACATAAGAGAATGTCCATGTGGGGAGCTAAAATCTTATGAATGAGGTAAAAACCAATTAAGCAAGGCAGCATGAAACTAAAAGAAAGGAAAGGAATTGTAGAGTATGTGTGGCTGGTGACAGGGGCTAAGTCACTGAAATGTTCTGTGTCCTGGGGTTTCTTCTGCACACAGTGAAAGGAAAGCTTGCCATATGTATCTTAGGAAGTTTTTGTGAGAGTCAAATGAAAGAATGCTGTGGAAAGAAAGGATGCACAACAAGTCATCTCTTGAGAGGGCCCTGCTGACACCAATGAGGTGTTCCAGATGGTGTCTATCTCAGACAAATATTTCCAACCATAAGATGCTCAACTGAGAACTTGCAGAGGAAGACGAACATCTTAGAAGCATAATAAAATGTCACTAATTCATGACTCTATGCTTAATGACAACTCCAACATGGCATGTGTCATTCAGAGCAAAAAGTATGCAGGTACAAGGTAACACTGTATACAGACCCTGCCTTTTGGTAAAATGAAACAAAACAATGTGAAGCTGTTTGGGTACTTTAAATATGTGAGAGGCAGTGTGCTCAAGTGGCTTCAAGGTAACCTAAGTTTGGATTTTCACTTTGGCAATTACTAGCTTGGTCTTAATTCTCAAACTTCCATTTCCTCTTCCATAAGTAACAGTGTAAAAAATATGATAGAATTGCTGGGAGGATTACATGACATAATGTAGGCAAAGTTCCTGGATCACAGTAGGTAAAAATAAATGGGAGCTATTATTAATAAGCTGCAAAATATTTTTGATTGAACCTGCATCTTTTAAAGATTTTTTTTTAGTTGTTGATAGATCTTTATTTTACTTATTTATATGTGGTGCTGAGAATGGAACCCAGTACCTCACACATGCCAGGCAAGTGCTCTACCACTGATCTACAGCTTCAGCTCCTTAACCTACTTATTAAAATAAAGCATATTGTCTGATCAATGTCGCCTCCTCAAGGAGGTCATCTCTCCCATACATATAAAATAGTTTATTCTGCCCCATCTATTTCTTTATCTTTATTGCTTTAGATGGATCACTGAAGGCTTGCTAGAGGAGGTACTCTGAACTGGGACTGAACAGAAATTTACTAGGAGGGAATTTCCTTGAGCCCTTTGCATCACTTGACATTGAGTTATATGTTTATCTGCCTCTTGTTTGTCTCCCTCACTATAATACAGGCCAAATAAAACCTGTATCTTCTCCTTAAGGTAAAAACAGTGGGTCTTTTTTTTTTTTCCTGATCATGCCATATGCTTAATATGTGGAACAAGGACTGGCATAGTGGGTGCCCCATAATCATTATTTGAATAAATGGAAATTTAAGGCTACTTAGCACAGTGCTTCCTAGTGCCTTGTATTATAGGCAGGTTCCAGTTTTGATAGTCAGTTATACAAATGGTACTTTCTAATAGTTATGATTTTGTACAATCTGTTTGTTCATTATTATAGCCAGTATGTAGAACAATGCCTGGCACACTGTCATCCCTAAAATAATTTCTTGCTAAATAATGTGTGTCTTCTCAACCAGTGGACATTCATCAACCATTGTTATATGGTAACATGTGTTTGGCGCCGCCGGTTTATAATGATCTGCATCTGCCTAGTATGGAATATAGGCATGAAGCAAATTTCCCCATGGAATAATAAGATCAAAAATAGACAGGTATACAAGGGATAGAAGGAGCACACTGTGCTATACAAAGTGTGACTTGCTGAGTGCTGCTGGTCCATGGACTATTTGGATCGATACAGAAACTAAAAGTACATGTTTAGGTATAGCAATTGACATTACCACAATATTTTTTTATTATACCTTATAGATGTATTGGTCTTTCAACAGGTTAGAGATCTGCAAAAGGATATTTCATCATAGTTGATGAGGAAGGAGTGACCAATTATAGTTGGATGGATCACCGAAGGCTTGCTAGAGGAGGTACTCTGAACTGGGATTGAACAGAAATTTGCTAGGAGGGAATGTTCTTGGAACAGGAAAGAACTTGCGTGGGGGTACTGAAGTGTGACAGTGTATGTGTATAATTAGTCATGAAGGTCTCTTCCTATTTTCTCACAAAGGGCTGTGACCATATTATGTTCCTGTCTTTTAGGTTTGCCCTGTAGTAGGATGAGTTAGTTCTTTCTTCTGGAACGTTTATTTTATTAACTAACACAAGAGGCAAAGCTCTGGTGTCTGTGGAGTTTCCCCACACTCTTTTCCCAAACCATGGCTCAACTGCTACAAACCCTGGGTGCTCCTTAGAGGCTGGGCACCAACCCCAGCATCTAGGCACGGCCCATGGCAGGCAGAACTGGGCCATGGCCCACAAGAAGCTCAGTGCTGACAACCTAATGTCAACAGCTCACACTTGTGGGTGAAAAGTGATTCCCTATCTCCACATCCTCACCCTCTATTCCTAAGAGAAAATAAGGCCTCTTCATTGGCCTGTGGTAAGAGGCGGTATATAAATAAATGGACAGAGGGACTCAATTACAGAGTTTCAGGGCTACTGCTGGGCCTCACTATTGAGCCAGGATGCTTTATTTGACTTCACTATTTGCTAGTTTACCTCCTCACACTGTCTTCTTCCATTTTGAATGCAAAATGCACCCATGGAGCATCCATCCTCTGTGTGGTGGGCTCTCTTTGAGGACTCTGGAGCCAGCAGTGACACAAGCTGACCTGGCCCTTGCCCTCAGGGAGCTGACACGCTCAGACCCTCAAGGGAGCAGGTATTATGCGTGGCTCTGCACTTAAAACACCTGGCACAGGCTGGCAACAGTCTCTGGCCTTTCTGTTAATCTCTGCATGATGATGGCAAGCAGCTGCACCACACAGGGCCTGTCTCTATGGTGAGTGCTCCTGTGTGTGAGCTCCTGAGGTAGGGACTGCTGTCTCCACAGGACACAGGAACAAGGAAAGACACTGAGAACTTAGGTTCTCAATGCTTAATGCCTCAAAATGCCTTGTGGGGATGGAGCTGGGATTTGAACTTCACCCTTTGCCCTGTGTGCTGTGCTGTGTGAGCTATGCAACAGTGTGCCAAAGCCACATCACTAATGTGTTGGTGCAATACCCGCTAATTTAGAATTATTTTCTTGGTTGCCCTTGTGGTCCAATTTGTACCAAAGATTTCTGCTTTGGCTTAATCTGTAACACTTTGCTGTTCAGGATAGGCTTAACCTTTAAGGCTAGTTGTTCTTGTTAGAGAATGGATTGGTAGTCAACAAAAGAGGAAGTATCATTACTATCATTCTTCAATGGATATGGGTGCTTTGCTGTGAATGCCTGAAGATGCCCAGGACAAGGCTCTGTTTACTGCCCCATGGGACTTACCTACACACTGCTCTCCTCGCTTCTGATACCCTGGAGGGCAATGGCATGCAAAGGAGCCTCGTAAATTGATGCACACTTGGTCTGCTCTACAGTTGTGCGTCCCTGCAGTGCACTCGTCGATGTCTGTCCAAGACACGCAACACAAACAATGTTTCAGTAGATTGTGAAGATTTTATCATTTCTTCCATTTTGCCATTGCTTTTCTTAAACTGATTTTTGACTTTGTTCTTAAAGCATTATACTTTTGTTATATTGAAAATATTTTAAATTTAAATTATTTCAAGGATTCAGTAAATAACTTCATAGATAATGGTTTGTTAAAACACTAACATTTTGCCATGCTTTTCTTGGCTGCTTTTGTTTTGTTAAGAAATAAAACATTGCAGATGCAGCTAAAATCTCACCCTATCCTCAACCCCTTACCCATCATGTGCCAGTCTCCTAACAGGCAGAAGATGTTTATACTTTTGTTAAAGAGGGATTAGGTGTGTGCATCTAGTTGGATATAGTAGTTAGTGTGTTTTAAAATTTTAATAAGTTGTATGATACCTGGCTTTTCCACCCATATATTACATTATAATTTCTATTTACAAGGCTTTAAAAATCTGCCCAGTAAGTGGGTCTAACTAATATTATACATTTAATTTCATGTTGCTTTTTAAATTTTTTTGCAAATGGTAGAGTAACATTTGTGTATAAATTTTTCATTGCAAATTCAAAATGCAAGGGATTCAATAAGATCATATTCCTCTAGGAGACAAAGACTGGTGTAGTTTAAAATACACAATTTCTCAAAGCATTTTAGGATTTCACCAAATGTTCCTTAAGGAGTAAGCAGGTCATTATTCTAGAAAAGTAAAACAAACAAACAACCCAAAACAAACAAACAAAAAACTCAGCTGAACATATAAAACCAGTTTAGAGAATTTGTTTCATATGAAAATGTGATATAAAATCGTGTGTGTACATTCAAGTTTACTGTCATTTATAAGTGAATTCAATTTTCCCTATTTATATCACCTTTGTATACATTCAAATCTCCCACATCATGAAGTTAAATAGAACAAATGAAAGCATTACACAGTTTTGGCATTCTCTAATTGAAGACTCTTAAGTGTCATTAAGAGTATCGTATGACATATAATTCTGAGATGACACATTTTGCATGAAAACTGAGATAGAGTTAGGGGATCTTAAATCATTATGTCTTAAATAATCACTATGGTCTACATGGGGGTGCTCTAGCAGAAATAGTGGACCAAGAATCAATTTTTTTAAAAAAATAACCAATCATCTGAGTTCATGCAATCTCTGCTTTCCCTTTCAGAAGTTTAGAGAGTGGTCGTTTGTGTTTTTGCCTCATTTTTTCATTTTCCATGTTTTCAAGGTGAATTATTGCATTATGCAGTGTCCTAATGTAGGAAGACCTGGTTGTAAGAAGTCTGTCCTCAGATAACTGTTTCACTTAGCTGGGCATGGAAATGATAACAAAGATTCTTCCACAAGAAAGAGGGACAGAAGGTGAAAAATACTTGAGTGTTGTACGGCTATTTGTTGGATAATAACCTATGAACACATCTACTTACATAATTCTTTGAACCTGGTGATAAAGTTTTAGCTGAGCTTTCTTGGTATGTTTCTGGCTCTGTTTTGAAATTTACCAGTACTATTACTATTACTGTTAGTTTCAAATCAGTGATTGCAAATTGTGCTTTTTGGGTACAATACAATGGTTCGATAATCTTTCTGTGAGATTAATCTGCTCCTTTTTGTGTCTTTTATTATTTTCTCATATGCACTTGATGAAAACCTTTCTACTGGGGTTTCTTCAGAGCTTTATGACTAGTTAATGCAGAAATGACAGCAGAATTCCTATTGTTTTATGTCAAGAACATTTGCCAGCATTTGCGGTGATAACAGCCCTGAGAGATATGGCAATGTTAGATTCAGATGTGGCAGGTTTCCTCAGCACACTCTGGCAGAAGATCAAGGACTTGGGCTGCTGCTGCATTTCTAAGGGAGGCCTCACCAGTGACTGAGGCTTATTCTTTTGGAGACATCTCTCTGCAAACTGCCTCCACTCCATTGCATTCTCGATGTCCTACCATTTCCTTCCTATTTTCACATTGTTTATTTCTCAGTCTCTTTGATAAACAAGCTAACATGTCCAGTGGAATCAATGCATCATTGAATAGTTTTTAAATACAGAAACCTGTGCTGCTACTCCTTAACTATAATGTCTCCTTAGCTCCCAGAGGGTTATTTAATAGAAACAAACAAAAGTTAAAGTAATTTAATAAAAACAAACAAACCAAAACCAAAATACCACTACCTCCACTCTCACTATGTTCTTTTCTCTATCAAAAACCAAGCAAAGCTGGCAGTGGGTGCATGCCTGTAATCCCAGCAGTTCAGGAAGCTGAAGCAGGAGGATCACAAGTTAGAGACCAACCTCAGCAATTTAGAGAGGCCCTGACCCAGAATAAAAAAAAATTAAAGGGGATTGAGGTATAGCTTAGTGGTAAAGCACCTCTGAGTTCAATCTCCAGTATCAATCAATCAATCAATAAATAAATAACATAAAACAAGCAAAGCTGCAGTAGGATCAGCCTCACCTAATGTTGACTAGTGATTATACTTTCTACTTACCTGGACTTCCAAAATGGTCGAGAAAGTAGTCTCTGTGACCAGGAAAGCAGGCTTTTTGTTTTGTTTTGTTTTTTGGTTCTGGAAGTTGAACTCTGGGGTGCTTTACCACTGAGCTACATTCCCAGCCCTTTTATTTTTTGACAAGGTCTTGCTAAATTGCCCAGGCTGACCTCAAAGTTGCAATCTTCCTGCATCAGCCTCCTGAGTTGCAGGGATTATAAGTATGTGTCACCATCCCTGGCTCCAGAAAGCAGCTATTTACTGTATTTCCACTTATTGCTTCTCTGACTTCAGTTTATAATATATTCCTCCTTGCTTTTAGCAGGTTATCTAGAGCTGAAGTCTCCCAATGGAATGAATTTGTTTGATCTATCATCTATTATAGTATACATTCATTTGTTTACTTAAACTATTACTTTCACTATTTAAAACAATTGCTCTTTAACATCCTGTCATTGCACATTTACACAGCTATACAAGGTCACATCAAAATCATTATATGTTGATAAACTCTCTTATATTTGTCTTTTCTACTTGTAGGCATTTCAATATGCTTTAAAAATCACTAATTCAGCCAACACAAACAATGTCTTTTGCAGGCACCTCTGCGGTGTGTAGTCAAAAATCCATTTTCTACATCTATACTGGGGGTGGGGGGGTATGTGCATAGGCAAGAACAATGCTTTATTTTTCAGGGAAACTATTCAAGTCTGTCAAGATTTTCCTGATAATGAAAGAATAAATACTCTGGGGAGAGGAGTTTGCATTGTGTTTTTAAATTATCTACCATTTATTCTCGATAGTTAAGCTTACTTGGTTTTTAAGGTAGTCAGCATATGCCGTGGGCCCTGGAATCAAGCTCTTTAAGGATGGAATCTATATCTTACTTTTTCTGTGTGCCTAGCCCAGTAGAGTGCATAGCACATGGTGATTTTTCAATACTTATTTGTTCAATAAATGGATGAATGAGTCATTACTGTTTGCTGGGAATTGATGCCTAGAGTTTAAGGAAAGTAGGGTCAGTGCTTTAATCTCATGGAACTAAAATTTATAGGATAGTGTAACGTGCAAGAACTGACAAACAAACGCAGCAAAATCAACAAAGTATTGGTCAGTGGGAATAATGTAAAGCCAGAGTGCAGAAGAGTCCATGAGGCATGAAGCAGCCTAAGAAGGAAGCAGCTTTAGGAGATTTGCCAAGGAGGTGGGTCCTCCGTTGCATTTTGAAAAAGATGAGATACATGAATTAGCAGGAAAATGAGCTTGTTTCTAAGGAGAAAGCTGTTCCCATTAGAAAACAGTGGTAAGACCCTGTTGCTGTGCATGAGGAGAATGGAAGGAGCTGAAGTCAGCACACTGGAGGCACTGTGTGTATAAGGAGCCTGGTACAGTGACTGGCAGAAGTTGCTCATAAACTGCTGGCTCAAGTCCGAATAAAATTCAGGGCCCTTCTATATGGGTAATATGAATTGTAATGCATTTTGCTGTCATATATGACAAATTAGAATACAAAATAAAGTAAAGCCCTAAAGGTGGGATTAGAGAGTTTGGATTATACAACACAGCAAGCAGACCTGAACTATGCAGTCATAACCTAATGTTGACATTAACAGAGAACAAAATAATAGAATGTGCTTCCTAAAATATCACAACATATTTCATCATTATAATATATTAAGAATAACTAATGGCAATATTTGGTGATTCTCTCATTTTTCAAAAATGTGCCCAAGGTCTCCTTCCTAGTGATTTATACTATTCGTGGGTCCCTCTCTTGCTGACTTTGGCAACTTTAGTTGCTTTAAATAGTCCAGACTAATCTTTGCTCAGCTGTTTCTTCTAGCGTCTTTATCACACTGGCCGTCAGTCGATGGAACCACACATTTGATCTCTTCTCCAAGCTAATGGAAGCAATGGTGTCCACATCACTGTGGTGTCCATTAAGTTCCTGCTTAGGCCTTCATTCTCTCTGTTTTTTGGCTCCCTCCTTTCAGTCTGACTCATATTTCCCAAACCCCTGACTCATGCTGCTTTCTCTCTCTTATGCAACATTTTAATCTCTGCAATGTTCTTTCCATAATTTGATAACTTACCACGACATGGAGTCACTTCAGTGCGTTTTTATGGGCAACAAATTATCTGCATTTTGAATGCTATTTAGTGCTTATTTAGACTGTTCTAATTTGTGCTGCTTTAGGTTTAAGAAATAATCCAGAAGTACATTTGAATAAGCCACCATAGACTATTAATGGGTGTGCCCTGAAACAGGAGGAAGGGGGTTGAAGTGATTTTTATTCTGTGATAGCTATGGGATCTAGGGTCATAGTATCAATGAAACTTTCTAAATGAAATAAAAGGGACTCACTAGATAGAGGTCTTATAGTAACTTGGAATATTCATCTTATTTTTCAGTATTAATCCTGGAAGGTAGGAACTAGTTTAGCAAGAGTTGAGGGTGTTGTTGTTTTATTATT